CAGATAAGAAAAGTCACTTTCACAATTTCCCCGCTTGGTGGATTCCTGACCAGGCAAGCATCCTTGACAACCAGGAAATCATATTCGAGTACATACTTATATGTGCATATCTTATCTTACCGTTTTGTTATTATTACGTTTTACTTTCATATGATTTCTCTGCAATATAATTCTAAAATTAAGCAATTATGTAAGACGTATCATTTATGTTTTATCTGATCTCGTACTTACATCTGTTAAGGTCTTGTAAATTTAGCACAAATGCACGTGATTAAAAAGTTAAATAAAAAATTTAATAAATAGCAAAATCTATTTGGCTAATTTAAAATGTTCGTTATCATTTCTCTCTTATTACTCCTATAGGAGGCTTTCGGGATGCCTCTAATGGGAGCACTCTCTTATTGCTCGTTCGGGAGGTATACGGGATGTTTTCTATGTGCACTCCCTTGTTGTCTTTTTGGGAGGTTTCTGGGAGGTAACTATGGGAGTACTCCCGTATTGCTCCATTAGAAGGTTTGTGGGATGATAATTCTGTGTGTGCTCCCCGATTGCTCGTTTAGGAGGTAAAACGGATTACTCCCCCTCCTAGGACATCCAATGTTAAAGGGAGTATACAAAATTACATGCTTACCCTGCAAACCATTTTTTCAGAGCATTCTGAATCGTAAAGAATTTTTAAAGAATTCGGAAAGATCCCATCCGATTTTTTGCCGAATTTTCTAAAATGAAATAAATTACGCACACTTCCATTCTTTTACGAAATTTCGGAAGAAAATCGGTAAAGAAATGAAAATAATGCTGCTATGTGAAGAATTTCTTGCAGACTTCTTTCAGAATTTTCTTTATATTTCGTACAGAAATTTCTTTACGAGTTCGTGTCAACCACTTCATATAATTTTCTTTGAAGACTCGGAAAAAAATCGTTACAGAAATCAGATACTCCTAAAGATTTCGTTAAGATTTCGGGAACTTTGGTTTGCAGGGTATACACAGAAGCATAGGGAGCAATGGGGAGTATTCGTATACTCCCAAGCGAGTACTCACCGAGCAATCGTACGATGCTCCCAAGTTCTACTGGGAATTACGACAAAATTTTACTAAAGAAAATCCTTCACAAACTCAAAAGTTATTAACAATAAACATTAAAAATTAAATAATTTAAGAGTTTTCTGAAATAGTAACATTTTCCGAGACTTTGGAGAAAATCTATCTTCGCGTTTTTGAGAAATTGCATTCCAAACTTCAATCGCGATTTCCCACAACCTGCCGAAATTAACATACGACAATCTTTTACCCAGGCGACGATATGGAAAACACACATTAATCTAGATTATGTAAACAGAATATAGTGTGCAATCGTGCAAACGCCGACGTAATTCCATATAATACGGCGCAATAATTCCAAATCAACTACATCTGTCGCCGTCGTATATTTGCAGCCAACGGCGCATAGTTTTGTTTTTGTTGGGCATTTTTGTTGCTGTGTTTTCATCTGCCGGCGATTGTGTCTAGTTTGGCGATTTGATAAAATATTTCTGATTGTTTCTATTTCGCATTATAAATATTTAATGGTTTTAAAATGCTGTGAAATATATAAAATCTTAACTTTAGGCGTCATGGTTTAGTGTATTGCCGGGGTTACGTGCCAAAGAGCATATACATAGACACAACAAAAGATAAGTCTAAAGAAAACCACCAGCAACAAAAAGCGCTTGGTTAGTTTGTGATAAGTGAGGTGGAGTGTGCGACGTTCAAGCAGCCAGACAAGCTGAAAAATTAAATATTGTAGTAAAAATATCGGATTGTCGTTATTGTAGAAAAGATTTTCTAATATTTTTGCATTTCCCTAGAGACTTTCGAGAGCTACTTGTCATTCAAGGCCAACTGGTTAAAACATACAAAGAAAAAACTAAAATGACCTCGGTGATCAAGTATATGTCGCTACTGACCACCTGCTCGGTGTTTGCAGCTTTAATCTCCATCGTTTGGCAAGCATTTTTGTCACTAAAGCAGCTAAATAAAATAACTACAATACTCACTGGACTCCTGGCTATAGAAAGTAGTTTAAAAAGACCACTCCAGGCGCCAAAGGTCGCAGTTGGTTACGGTGCTTGCACCGATTTGCTGCTCCATGCAACCGAATTTCTAAACTATACCAACGATTTGGTGAAGGGTATCGGTCCAGAATTTACAGTGAATGAGGTGAATGACAAGCAAGAACTATTGCAAACGTTTGCCTACTATTTCCAAAATGGTGCAGCAGCAGAGTGAGTAAATTTTTTTTAAATACAACTTAATATTTACATTAAGTATAACTGCTGCATTCATGCTATTTTAATAGGCGGATTATGCCCAACAGCGAACTTTTTCGGGAACTAATACAGATAGCCAAGTCTCGGCATCGCAATGGTATACAATGGTTTCTTGGCGGCAATGCGCCTCTAATGGGTACTCGTTTTCACCTGGAAGGAGCCAATGTGTTGCTGGGAGCGCGAATGTCACGGAAGCAAGTGTTTAGTATAATTAAAAAGAGCAATAATTTGAATAATTTTTATTCCTACATATACAGATTGCGTCGACTTGTGCCAGCGGATATAAAAATTGCAGGCGATGAAATTCCCGAAGATGACATTCATCTCATATTGGAATATAAGTCGGGCGACACATGGGGCCCGTTTAAAGCACCACGTGCCAACCGCTATATACTGCACAGCGATCAAAATAATCCCCATTTGAACTCCGTTGAGCACTTCGACGCAGCTTTACGTAGCTTCCAACCACGTTTGCTAGTCATTAGTGGTCTACAAATGATGGATAGCTATAGGTTTATCCCGGGGGTGCGTGAAGCCCGTCTTCTCAAAGTCCAAGATCAAATCACTTCACAAGCACCAACGACATTGCAACATTTCGAAATGGCAAGCTATGTTGAAATTGAACTATTGCAACTTTTGCGTCAATATGTGCTACCCTATGTGGACTCATTGGGCATGAACGAGCAAGAGCTGGAAAATTTGCGTCAAGTACTTACACATGGGCGCACCACACTTGCAACTGATTGGAATCCACGAGTTGCTACCGCACTAGATCAAATGCGCTCCGTATTTCAAATATTGGCACAAGATTACTTCAGAAATGTTACTGGCTTGTCGCATAGACGCCTATTGACGCGCATACATGTGCACACTCTAGCCTACCAAGCACTGCTGACCGTACGTGATTCACGGTGGGAACGAACACAACTAGCTGCGGCCAAAGCAGCGCTTACTGCTCACCGACATGTTTGCCAAACAGATATGGTAAATTTGTATGTAATATGTATTGAGAATGGGATTAAATAAAATTTAAATTTCAGATCAATCCTGAAGCCGCATCACTAGTCTTAGATGACAGTTTTGCTACTACAGCAAAGGA